CTTCTTCTTATATTTTCGTTATTACTCCGTCCCCCCCGGCCCCCCCCCGGCCCCCCCGGGGACCCCTGCATACCCATTCCCCACTCTTCATCCTTATGCCCTATAAACCTTAATCTCAGCCCTGCACTCCCGCCCGTCCACTCCACTCTAGCGCGTCCAGCCTCGTTTTATCCCGTCCGCCCCACGACTAGCCCCTGCTCCCCCCCTGGCCGCACCTTATCCCGTCTTCCCGTAAACGTCTAGCCCTTATACCGGAGCCAGAGGCCGCGTAACCCTAACTGGAATTGCTGCTAACCTTATGCTTTTTGGCGCAGATTTCCCCTGGGCTTCCCTGGGATCGGCCACCGTTGTCGACGTAGGTGGCGGCGTAGGTAAGAGAGATCACCTCCCTATCTCCTATCACCTACAACATACAGCCGGACTTAGGATGTCGTCTAAAAACTAACGCATATGCTCCCCTTGGCAACAATAGGTGGTTTCTCACTCCAGTTGTCCCATCTCTATCCAGACCTCAAGTTCGTCCTTCAGGATCGTGGCCCTGCCATTGAGAAAGCTCGGACCGAGATCTGGCCTCGAGAGCACCCAGAAGCCCTCGAATCTGGTCGAATCCAATTCATCGCCCACGACTTCTTCCAGTCGAACCCTGTCAAAGGGGCTGATGTATACTGGCTACGGTACATCTTACATGACTGGTCCGATGATTACTGTGTTCGCATCCTGGCAGCCATCAAGCCAAGCATGGGTCCCAGAAGCCGAATCTTGATCTGGTAAGTGCATTCTCTCTCGGTGTGTTTGCATTACGGCGTAGGTTGCATGGGTGTAAGCCCTGCCAAGAAATCTGATTTGTCATGATACCTGGGTCACCCGGCTACATGCTACACCGGTCTTGCCTTGTACTTGCATCCCCAGAATCGACGGCAACGCTAGAACCCCTCTTCCACCCTGCCCCTACACTGTGTCCTCCCGCACGAATCCCAGAGCAGCCCAAAAGGAGGGCAATTACAAGAAGGACCAAACAAAAAAACCTAGGATAATGGTTGCTAATCAGTGCTACTTACTCTTAGTGACCAAGTCATGAACACGACCAATGGGTGCCCTGAACTTCCACCCGCACCTGCCCCTCTGCCAAAGAACTGGGGGTACTATACGAGATACTCGCATCAGCGCGACCTGGCCATGATGGCAATTATCAACGGCATTGAGAGAAAGCCGGAGGAGTTCCGTGACATAGTCGAGCAAGCCGGGTTGCGTCTCCGCAAGATATGGGACTGCCGAAGCCAGGTCGGGCTCGTGGAGATTGTTCTGCCGGATTCAGAGCTGCAGTAGTGCGGGCTGCACTGTAACCTGGAGCGCAGGTAGTTCGTACTACCATGGTGGTGTGTGGCGGGACGGAAATCTTAGCGAAGAGCGGGAGAGGATGAGGCACGATATCGACATAGGTGGACAGCATCATATTCCATATGAACTCACAATACACTAAGACAATATGGCTGAGCTAGAGTAATTAGTACACACTGGCAGTGACTGTTAACACGTGGACGTGGGACTTCGGACCCTGCCAGTAACGCATACAGATCAATCCGTATCTGCTGCATGCTAGCCAGAGGATGACTGTGCATGCTTGGCCTCTGCTTATCTTATGAAGCCCCTTGTCTTCGGTGACGAACTGAGCCTCACGGCTTTTGTATGAATTCTTAAGTGGGGTGGAGACTATTTTGCATGTTCTGCAACGAAGGACAGGGAAGCGGCTGCTACCGCATCACGATAGAGCCCGATACCCGGGCCACCGGCCCACCTATGCTATCCGAGTCCCCTGCATACCCCAATGTGAAGGCTGATCACATAACATGTAACGCGGAGAAATAGAATCAGATCGAAGTGGCGGCTTATAATAAGATGTGGCTATGGTTACACTTCGTAGCGTCCCGCCCCGCAGCCAAGCATAGTAAGCCGCGTATTTACTTCTCATTTAGTGATTGTGCGGTGTTTTGGCTAGCCATATCAGTCAAAGGACAGGCGGGAGGCTTTACCGGTTAACTGCCGTATTGATGCGCGTTACTAATGTTGATGGATGGATGTCCGGTGTGTCTGCATGTAGATAACGAAGGCACTTGTCTAAGGCAGGTTCCGGCCTCGACGAATTACGTAGGTTGTAGTCTCCCACGAGGCTTGAAACGGGTTGCTTACTACTCAGAAGTATGTTTCCTGGCGATCTTCCACAACGCCACATCCGGGTAAAATGTAAATCAGTAACGCCAAGGTGCGTTTACGATTCGCTTACGGGTATGCGATCCTCCGTCTGGCACGGGAAGGAGATGCTGATCGCCAGTGCTCCAGCGGCACGCTCTATCTCGGTTTTGGTCTAGTCTCTCTGGGCATTTTCTTCAAGGCGCGAAGCGACAAGAACCACGCCAAGGGCTGCCGGCGTCTGATGCATGCCACCATGATCCCTCGACCGTTGTATAGGTCCCTGTCCAGGCATGATAGAAACGGCACACACGACGTACCAGTCAGTCTGGGATAAGGCATCATTACCAAGTGCAATGCCGACGACGTATATATTTCATTATTTATTACCGTTAGGTCCCGTGTACGATATGCTCTGCACGCCTGTCACCCATCGGCCTCGTGTTCTTCGTGTAACCGATTTAGCCCTTACTCTGGCTCACATCCCCGGTCGTATTGTCTCACAAACGCCATGGACAAGGTACCAAGAAAACCAAAGCGTTGGACCGAAGACGAAGACAACGTTTTGTACGAAGAGGCCATCAAGCAAGGTATGTCGTACAGCTCCCCCGTGACCGTCTGGATCATGCCAACTTTCCTGTTCTAACGTTACATATTCAAGCATCATCGGGCCCCATCAAAGATTGGCATCGAATTGCTGCCAAGCTTCCAGGTCGCACCAACAAGGATTGTCGGAAGCGATGGGTCAACAGAGTGCGGGGTGGTCTCAGAAGTGGTTCTTGGAGCGAGGCCGAGGACCAGATGCTTCGCGATGCCGTCGCACAATTTGGACAAAAGTGAGTCTTTACCAGAAGACAAGTGCGAAAATTCGCTCGTGATTGCCCCTGACAGAATTTCCCAGATGGACCAAGATCGCCCAGGTATTTGGATTCAGAAGCCCTGACCGTAAGTGGCTACCCGAATAGCTCCTGCATACCCCTCTCTCGTCCAATGTGTTCGGGTGGTTGTATTTAAGGGTCGGAATTGTCGTTTGTCCAACAATGAGACTCACGGAAGACCTGCTATTTCGCGTTATTACGATGACTCCCCCCCCACCCCGCCCGACATGGCCATATACTTATATCGTAACAGAATGTGCAAAGAGATGGCAGTACACTCTTGACCCTAAGCTTGACCACCGCGAATGGACAACACCAGAGGTGAATTACACTCGTCCTAACATGACTTGATATTCTCAGCTAATTATTTGCAGGATCATCTGCTGTTAGACTTGGTGCAGAAAGTTGGGCGAGATTGGAAATCCATATGCCATCAGCACTTCCCAACTCGGTCAAGGAATGACGTGAAAAACCGGTATGCACATACATCTCTTCCCCCCGCTGCGAGGGGTTCACCGATGCAACCCTCCTTGTTGGTTCAGAATGTAAATGACTGATGACTACGGTGGTGATGGGCAAAAAATAGATATACTATTCTGAGTCGGCGACTTCTATCGGGTGCAGCCAGTCAACCAGATGCCGACACAGCGAGCAGTGGATTCACAGAGACTATGGGCGATGGTGTCCTGAGTGACACAGCGTCTATTGGGCACCCTCAGACTCCTGGGTTCTCCATTGAGGAGTTCTTCTCACTGGATGCCGCTGACAGCGCCCAATCAAACGAGTACGACTTCCCAACCATCGAAGGGCAGCATGAGTCAAGCCATGGGTTTGACCTTATGTCTCTTGACGGTCTCGGCTTTGATAGCTACGACACCTACACCACCGGCACTCCTCTTCCCGATGCCGGAAGTAAGCCCCAGAATGATGAAAGTCTCTCCATGGCCTATTTTATGACCGGCATGACGGAGAACCACAATGTCTACATGCCCAATATGGATGTCGCAACATCTTCAGGGACCGACCCCAATGCCAACAGCCCGGCGTCCCCCCACGGCGAGGAAACAGGCAGTAACGATGAGACTTTCACCCTTCACACGTGCATTAACCCCCAAGACTCCCTCGCCCTGAACTTCCAGAACGACGTCGGTCCTGATGGGGAGCAAAACCTTCAACTAACATTTAATTCTGATTATGATTTTGAGAAAGCGCTTGCCTGCCTCAAGGACAGTGAAGTGACGTCCAAGGTCGAGGCTGAGACCGCCTCGGTCACTTCGCAGTCGGGCATATCGAAAGTTGTGCTCGTCGTGGAGAAGTGCGACCACGAGATTGTGAAGTACCTTATTGACATCACGAGACCGATTCAAGGGCGAGTGAAGATGGAAATGATTATGTGATATGGTTAACGTACTTACGAGTCGAGGAGGGTTGGCTAGATTCTACCTTAGATACGGGGTTTGATTTTCCAGAAGGGACTGGATTCATAGAGACATTGATGCGGAACAGTCTAGCTTACTATGACAGGTCGAATTAGCATGGCGCAAAGAGTGATAGAATAGAACTATAAGAAGTTGGAAATCAAGAGACTACTAGATGCACGCATAGACAGCGTTAGTAGGCCACAGATAAGAATAGTCTTGTGAAGCGCCAAATAGCACTTATTGTAGTGACAATCCCGGCTTGAGCGGATCTTACCCAGATACTCTTCTTCATCCAGCGGCAAAGCGGAGATCCAACGTATAGTCCTGAAACGCTCAGTCTCGGGGTCGGTAAACCGGGAGGGCGGCGTGATAACACCATCGGGGCTAACTTCCCAAATGCCATCCTCTACGAGCCATACCCACACCCACAGCATCTCGCCAAGACTGAACATGCGCTAAGGCCCCCATGGCCGGGAGCCATAATGCTTCAGCGCGTCATCCACGCCTTCGGGAGTGAGTAGCCACACGTCGTCGCCGGCCGCGCCGGCCGCGCCGGTCGACCTGTAATTAACGTACAGTCCCGCTCGCCGGAGGACCGTATACTTCGCGCTCCCCCAATCCCTGTCAAAATAACTATTTCCCGGCGCGGGCTTAGGCACCGGGCTTCCGACCGCCGGGAGGATAAGCGAGGCATAATTATCTCCCCTGTCAAGCTCGACGTTCGCCAGTCTCCGGCTAGTCAGGGGCTCGGCAGCGTACAGCTTAACAACTGACTCTGGGGTAAATGACTTAATACCGGGGGTAATAAAGGTGAAAGACAACGGCTGCTTCGCCTTAGTGAGGAATACGCTCGCGAAAGTGCTTATTCTGAGGCTATGAAGGATCTTAGAAGGGTTAGGGTTAGGGTTAGGGTTAGGGTTAGGGTTAGGGTTAGGGTTAGGGTTAGGGTTAGGGTTAGGGTTAGGGTTAGGGTTAGGGTTAGGGT